ACAGAGTAATGGAGGCTGTAAAAAGTAAAAAGAATTCCTTTAAGCAGTGGAAAGCTAGTCACAGTGAGGCTGATAAAACGGAACACAGGCTATGGCAAATAAAATGCAAGTCTGAGGTCAGGCAGGCAAAAAGGGAATATGAGGAGCATATAGCAAAAAACGTAAAAACCAACAATAAAACTTTCTTCAAATACATTAGAAACAGGAAACCAGCCAGGGAGGCAGTGGGGCCCTTGGACGACCAAGGGGTAAAAGGAGTATTGAAGGATGATAGGGAAATGGCTGAGAAGCTAAATGCATTTTTTGCCTCCGTCTTCACTGTGGAAGATGAGAAGTGCTTGCCCACTCCAGAACCACTGATTTCAGGAGGGGTGTTGAAAGACCTGAGTCAGATTGAGGTGACGAGAGAGGAGGTCCTAAAACTGATAGACAACTTAAAAACTGAAAAATCACCAGGCCCAGATGGCATACATCCGAGAGTTCTGAAAGAACTCAAATGTGAACTTGTAGATCTCCTGACAAAGATATGTAATCTTTCCTTAAAATCTGCCTCCATTCCTGAGGATTGGAAGGTAGCTAATGTCACTCCCATCTTTAAAAAGGGTTCCAGAGGAGATCCGGGAAATTACAGGCCAGTCAGTCTGACGTCGATACCGGGTAAATTGGTGGAAACCATTATTAAGGAAAGAATTAGTAGGCACATAGATGAACAAAACCTATTGAGGCAGACTCAGCACGGTTTCTGTAAGGGAAGATCTTGTCTCACTAACCTGTTAGTGTTCTTTGAGGGGGTGAACAAACATGTGGACAAGGGGGATCCAATAGATATTATTTACCTTGACTTCCAGAAAGCTTTTGATAAAGTTCCTCATCAAAGGCTCCTAAGTAAGCTCAAAAATCATGGGATAGAAGGACAAGTCCTTTTATGGATCAAAAACTGGCTAGTTCATAGAAAACAGAGAGTGAGTGTAGGTGGGCAATTTTCTCAGTGGAGGGTGGTAAGCAGTGGGGTACCGCAGGGATCAGTACTTGGTCCACTGCTTTTTAACTTGTTCATTAATGATTTGGAGATGGGAGTAAGCAGTGAAGTGGCTAAATTTGCGGATGATACAAAGTTGTTCAGGGTGGTGAAAACCAGTGAGGATTGTGAGGCACTCCAAGGGGATCTGTCAAGGATGGGCGAGTGGGCGTCAACATGGCAAATGGGGTTCAATGTGGCCAAGTGCAAGGTGATGCACATTGGAGCCAAAAATCCTAAATATAAATACACATTGATGGGGTCTGAACTGGCAGAGACTGAGCAAGAGAGAGATCTTGGAGTTGTAGTGGATAACTCACTGAAAATGTCGAGACAGTGTGTGACTGCAATAAAGAAGGCCAATGCTATGCTGGGGATTATTAGGAAGGGTATTGAAAACAGATCAGCCAATATAATAATGCCCCTATATAAATCAATGGTGAGACCTCATTTGGAATACTGTGTGCAGTTCTGGGCACCACACCTTAAAAAGGATATTATAGCTTTGGAAAAAGTGCAGAAAAGGGCAACTCGAATGATAAAAGGGTTGGAACACTTTCCCTATGAGGAAAGGTTAAAGCGCTTAGGGCTCTTTAGCTTGGAGAAAAGACGACTGAGGGGTGACATGATCGAGGTTTATAAGATTATGCATGGGAAAGAGCAGGTAAAGAAAGAGGTACTTTTCTCCCTTTCTCACAATACAAGAACTCGTGGGCACTCCATGAAACTGCAGAGCGGTCGGGTTAGAACGGATAAAAGGAAGTACTTCTTCACCCAAAGAGTGATTAACACATGGAATTCACTGCCACAGGAAGTGGTGGGTGCTACAAGCATGGACGGCTTCAAAAGGGAATTAGATAAGCATATGGAGCAGAGGTCCATCAGTGGCTATTAGCCACAAGGTATAGCTAGGGGCTCTGGGGCAAGTGATGCTCTGTCTTCTTGGTGCTTGGGGGGGGGGTCAACAGTGGGAGGGCTTCTAATGTCCTGGCCCCACTGCTGGACCTCCTGATGGCACTGGTATTTCTGGCCACTGTGTGACACAGAGTGTTGGACTGGATGGGCCTTTGGCCTGATCCAACACTGGCATCTCTTATGTTCTTATGTTCTTATGTTCTTATGTTATTTACCTGCATGCCTATTTCCATACATTAAGCCTCTTTTAAAGGGACAGGACATTTTTCTCCAGGCTTGTTGGCAACTCTAGTGCTCTCTCTTCCAAAGGGAAACTGTTAGGTTAAGCACTACCACTGGAACTGCTTGCTGCTCAGAGAAATGTGGTTCTTTGTCTTTCCAGAATCTGCACAGGATGGGAATACTATAAAATACTGAATAAGCATGAACATGTGTTGCTTCTTTTCTTTATAAGTGAAACCATGTTAATTTGTTTTTTTACCACATAATGATTCCAATTTATTGGAGACATTGGATACAATGTCCAGATCACGGGAGGTGGTAGTTCCGCTCTATTCTGCTATGGTCAGGCCTCACCTGGAGTACTGTGTCCAGTTTTGGGCACCACATTTTAGGAAGGATGTTAACAAGCTCGAGCGTGTCCAGAAGAGGGCAACCAGGATGGTGAGAGGGTTTGAATCCAAGTCTTTCGAGGAAAGGCTGAAAGAGTTGGGTATGTTTAGTCTGGGAAAGAGAAGGCTTAGAGGGGACATGATTGCAGTCTTCAAGTATTTGAAGACTGTCATGTAGAAGATGGAGCGGATCTATTCTCTCTTGCTCCAGATTGCAAGACTAGATCTAATGGGTGGAAATTACAAGGGAGTCATTACCGGCTAAATATCAGGAAAAACGTCCTAACTGCAAGAGTGGTTGAGCAGTTCGTGTAAGTGTCTATACAAACAAACAGAGTATTTTCTATTTAGAATAATAATCTACAAAAGGCAATTATATAGAGATATTTCTTACAGATTCCAATAGTTCAATATTAATATGTTAGAGTATTCCAAACTCGAGGAAAGAGAAGCCTCTTTGATGTTCCTTCATTTAAAATTACTGAAAATCAGAAGTTGAAATAAACTTCTGAAGTTATTCTCTGAAGTAGGAAGGTTCTCATAAATCTCCACCTATGATGGGTCCTAATTGAAAATTGGCTAAGCTAACCGGGCGGAAACACCTGCAGTTAGCTCCCAATTTTTTCTTTGAAGCAAAGGCTGGAACATGTCAATTAAGTTTGATTTAAAACACCTGTGTTCTTTACAACTCAAACTGATTGTTAATTCTTCAGGAGAGTCCCAAAGAATTTCTCCCAAAGGTTTCCTGGAAATTAACAATAATCAATCGAAAATCATTTGTACCCTTGGTATCCCCTACAGTATCATCCAAGAAAACCTCTCATAAACAGTTAGACTAAACTACACCTTTGAGGTATGGGATACTATCCCCATGGGACACTTTTGAGGAGTTATGAGTTTCAGTTCATTTCCCTCTGTACTTTGAGATCACACATTTAAACAGAGGCTGTTTGTCTGATCCCAGCTTAGAAGAAAGAAATTCTTATATTCAGGCTTAATTTTGGGCACTGCAAAGGACCAAATTAAGGGTTTTTCTGCACAGTACTTTTCCTGAGCTCTGGTCCCCTATTGCTTTGGTTTATCACCTGATTTTCTCATGTTTTCTTGTCCCTTTAGAATTTGACTTGCTTTTTTCTTGATTTTCCCCCATTTCTTTTGGGACCATTTTTACTCCAATGTTTTTTGACATTGTTGAGTCGTCTTTTTCTTTGTGTGTAAAGTTTCTTTTGTTTTTATTTGTTCTGCCCATTCCCACCGACCTCCAATCCACTTTTCAATTACTGGACTTTTGTCATTGCAGAGAGACTGTCAAGCTTAGTTTCAGTTCTTTGCAATTCACTTCACTGCTTGCCATAATATTGGGGGGAGGAAATTCCTGAGGGGAGTGCATGGGGTGTTGAGAGTGAATGCTTCTAGCAGCCATAACCATTTCTTTAAGCTGTGCCCCATCACTAGTTCCCATGAGAGCTGACCTTGGAGACTATTCTGCCATACTAGACTAGATAAGACACCGTATATCTGTCAGGGTTACCATAGGGACTTAGGGGCTGGATGCTGACGTATGCATGAGATGTGGGGTGTTAATTGCTTTGCCTATAATTGTGAATTTTGCTCGTGGTTTTTCAGTTCTGACAAAGAGCAAGTTTCCAGAAATAAGTATATCTCAATAAACTACAACTGCTTAAGTGTGTTGTGGAGAGTGTCTTAATTGGGAGACCTGACAGAAACCATGCCCCTCTCTCTGCCCCAGAACTCAGTGATTTCATTTTCTTTCTTTTAAAAAAATTGCTATATACATATTGCTATAAAAGCACGGTGCCACTTTTTTGTGTATAACCACCTTTCTAACCAAATATTGTTTTATTAAAATTACTTTGTATTTAGTTTGTCTAATGGTGATTTCCACAGATAGGCAAGTGCCATCTTGTTTTTGGAAGCTTTCTATTGCTTTCTGTTTTGTGTGGAAGCAAATGGTGATTCTTGTACGTGCATGTTTATCTACAACTGATCCAAAAATCACCTCATAGCAACCCTTCATCTATCATTGGTATGCATGAACTGCACTATCCAATCAAAACACTCTTTTTAGTCAGTATCTTCTAACACAGGAGAAAAATCTTTTCAACAATGCTATTCCTTCAGAATATCCTGCTGGTCCAGGGTTTCTAGACCTTATTCCAGTGTAAAAAAACAAAACAAAACTATGAATGATAAGCCAGTGCAGTGAGAATAAAACCCTTTTATCTTAGAAGGTGGGAAACTACAGATTCTTCAGTTGCTTCACTCTTATCTCTAGTGTTAAAGAAGACACTAAAACAATAAAGGGCAAGATTTATTTTTAACTTAGCTTGACTGAAGCCTCTGTTGCAGAGGCTAAAGGTGATAGTTTGGAGAAATATTAATCAGAGACATCTACTTAAGGTCCAGTCTAATTTTTATGGTTCCTATTTCTACAGACAAGCCAAGACACCAACCCATAACAATGAAGCTTCTGAGACTGCTTTTAGCCTACCGTCGATTTCTTCTCATTCTTTTCACTCCCCTTCTGCTACTTCCATTGCCTCTCATCATCAGAACCAAAGTAAGTGGATCTACTTGCTTATGTTCCCCCCTAACCCCCCCCCCAAAATACCTGAAATATTTCATGTGCTCATGTGTTTTCCTCCCAATGGATCTTCTCTTCATGAAATTCTAAGAACTAGGATATATAGGCTGAGTAACACAAACTAAATAATCCACTTTCAATCCACTTTCAAACTGGATTTTTACTGTGTGAACTGGCAAAATCCAGTTGGAAAATGCATTGAAAGTAGATTATTTAGTGTGTATGACCGCAGCTATAGACTGACTGAAAATTATTGTGAGCTTTTTACAAAGTTTCTCGTTGTGTCCTTTGTGGGCAAAATTGTGCAGCTGGGATCCAGATTTTCTAAAAATCTCACCAAAGAATTGAATCTGGGTGCATGTATCAGCTTGTTTTCAAGTTGAGAGAAGTTCTGTTGCTGCTGTTTTTAAATGTAACTTAATTTCAGTAATACTAATTATTTCTAGAGATGGGGAATGGTATGGTATAGCCTGATCTCACAAGATCTGGGAGGCTAAGCAGAGTTGGTATTCAGATGGGGGACCACCAAGGAAGACTCTGCAGAGGAAGCCAATGGGAAACCACCTTTGCTTCTCACTTGCCTTGAAAGCCCCTTGCTGGGGTTGGCATAAGTTGGTTGCAACTTGGCAGCACATACATACATATAATTATTTCTAATATATTTGGAGAACCAAGGAACAGGAGTGGGAACTGAATGGTATGAAACAATTGACAGGATGAAAATCAGTTATGTCATTGCTCCTGTTTACTCTACTGAATATCTTAGGCCAGGCCATCATTTTAGTGCTGCAGATGTGTGGTAATGGAATGGAGACACCTCCTTTTATTTTTGACTGCACTGGTGGCCTCTGGTGTGAAGTGGGCTGTAGTGTGATGTGGCCCTGTTGAGGACCAGTGTGCATGATCTGAACCCCACAAAAAAGGAGGGTGAAAATCATACAAACTAGGCCTTAATATGATTAGGTGCCCACACATCTCTGCTGGCCAAAGAGCATCCACCTTTTGCACTGACTTCAACCCACAGAGTTCATTGAACATCGACTTGTAGCATGCTGCTGCAAATGGGTCATTATATTCTCAAAGGAACACTTAGAAGTCAGTGCACACCTGTGTGCCAGTGGCCTGGACAGTCTCTGAATGTGCTATCAGGAGATAAAATCAATGCAAGAGGCAGCTGCCACACAGCTTGTAGCTTAAGAGAATTGACTGTAAGTCATGGGTATTTAGGAAAGGTTCTGGTAGCAGCACATAACTCCAGTGTTTTACTTTAAGGCCTTCATGTTGACTAATTGCAAAAGGCCAAAGTAAAATAGGAAATAGTGACTTATTTATTGTTGGAGAAATATGGCTTTTTATGCTGCTGTCAGATGAAGACATTTATCAGAAGTTTTAGCATTAATGGTTTAAATCTTGGCTCCACTAATGTCAGGAACAAAGCTCCTGTTGGCTTTACTGTAACTGTGGGTCACAGATCCTTCCAATGTTTATGGCTATGAACTTTCTGGGACTTCCTCTGCCAATAAATATGTAGCACAATATTGACCCCCTCCACCACATGGCAAGAAGAGAACTACCATCCCTCCGCCTTGTCCTCATTTGGAGCAGGATGTTCTAGGAGGGTGTTCTGTATGCCTTTTGAGACGACAGAATACCTTTTGATTTAGATTATACTTTCCATGTCCAAGATGCTTGTGTGTGTGTGTATTCTGATTCATGCATCATTTGGTGTTGTCAAGCACTGACTTGCACATTACTAAAAAGCAGTGCCATTGAGACAGTTTTTAAAGGCATGTTATTGGTGTACAGTCATGCACATTGATGTGTGCATGTAGGCTAATGTACCTAGAGAAAGAACCTTGCTTGGAAAACAGTATATGTACAACCAACTTTATGCATAGTCACATCCCATATTGGTGGAAAGTGCCGTAGTTTTGTTGTCACTGAGATGTTTGCAACCCACAGATATATATTTATTGTATACATGTATGCATGTAATGGAACAGTCTGCTCCTCCCCTAATACCTGTGTGATTTGGTTTAGTCCTATTGGGTGGAGCTCTTGTTTCAGTTTCCAGTTTTATATGTTAGCTGAAGTTGTTGTTTGTTGGAGTTGTTTCCTTGCAAATAAATGGCTGATGCTTTGAGCCAGTTTGTCGCTGCTGAATGGACCTGAGAATGAATGCCTGTATGAGTAGCCTAACCTGGGAACCCACAGCCAAAGGGGGACATTACGTGGTGTCAGATGTTAGCCTGTATCTCTTTGGGTCTCCAGCGTTGAATAGGAAGGCTCCAGATTACATCCCTTGTAAGGCAATGGATCATTTCAAACCTCCATCAGACTTATTTTTTGTGGGAAATTTAGGGGAGAACTGGAGGAGATGGGAACAAAAGCTGAAACTGTATCTTGCAGTCACCAAAGCTGAAAGAGTCCGAGGATTACAAAATTGCAGTCTGGCTTCACTGCATAGAAGACAAAGCCCTTGAAGTTTACAATAATTTTCAAGGTGTGTTTGCAGACCCTAACGAGACTCTGGCAGAGGTTTTAACAGCTTTCCAAACCTACTGTGAACCCAGAAAGATACCAGTTCTGTCAATTACAATATAATGAGGCTGCTGGAGTAGATGATTTTGTCAGTGAGCTTAGACAAAAAGCACACCATTGTGAGTTTGGTCCTTCTCAGAATCTCATGTTAAGGAACAAGATTGTATTTAGTATAACTGATAGCAAACTCCTGGAAAAACGCCTAGGAAAAAACCCCGATCTTTAGAGTTGCCAGGTCTTTCCTTGATGCCAGTGGGGGGGAATGTCCCGGTCCTTCTCTGGGATCTCCTTGGCGCAAACATGAAGCATGTGCACCGCAATGACATCACCCAGAAGTGACGTTATCACATATGGCACATTGCAGGGGATGCCCTGTCATTTAAGGAAAATGGTTTTTCCTTAAACGATTGACCATCCCCCCTGCAACATGCTCTACATGGTGAAGTCATTGCACTGGGCCCATTGCTGTGAACTGGGTGCTTTGGGGTTGGGGTTCCCTGCACTGGCCGAGTCCAGGTCAGTGGATCTGGAGACCCGAAAGTGGGCAAATCCCTGCCTCTATTGGGGGAATGGCAGCCCTACCAATCTTACCCTCCAGCAGGCAATCAGTACCTGCAAAACAAAGGCTCTTGCAAGTGCCTAGGCCAGAGCTATACCTGCAGAATCAACACAGCATGCTGTGGGGCAAAAGCAAAACTGTTCCGGCTCCTTGCAACAAGAGTGCAAGCCTCCTGCAAACCTCCCACCACAAATGCCTGCCCCTGCTAAACTACAGAAGATTTTCAACAAATGTGGAAACACACACAAGCCTCGAGAGTTTGGAGTTACTTGTTACAAATGCTAAAGTGTGCAGAATGAAGGAAGAACATGTAGAGCTAGAAAACAATATGAAAATGCCATGCATGGGCTTATTGTCTACTCTTGATCGCTCTAAGGCACGGCACAGAACAATAGCAGGTCTCCCAGTCTCATTTAAACTGGACAATGGAGCTGAAGCAAACACCATCCTTGCTGCAGTGACTAAAGCTTTGATGGGAAAACTGCACATTATGCAAACACCAGTCATGCTTGTTACTTTTGGAAGTGCTCACATGAAACCATCGGGGCAATTGTGGCTCACTGCAGATCAGGTTCCAGTAAAGCCCAACTGACCATTTATGTGATTGATAATGAGAATTCTCCATTGCTTGGAAGAGATGCCTGGATCACTCTGGATCTCCTCAGGTGAGTCCACCTGATACCCCATATATTAGCTGGACCAAGAGATGACCTCTTTAGGCACTACTTGGATGTTTTTGAAGGCTGGGTTCAATTTCCTGGCACTCATCACATCTTTCTGGACTCAACAATCCCTCCTGTTGTCCATGGGTGTAGAAAGATTCCCTACTCTGGTTTGGACAAATTGAAGAACACGATCTGCCAACTGGAAGCACAAAGCGTTATCACAAAAATTACAAAGCCCACTCCGTGTGATCTTAATAAGGCAGTGTTGAGGCAACATTTCTCTATTTCCACTGTTAAAGATGTCAGGAAAAACTTGGCTGGAAAGAAGCTGTTTACTGTCCTAGATGAAAAGGATGGCTATTGGCAGGTAAAACTGGAGTGTGTACTGAAGTGTGTACCTTTAACACCCCATGGGGAGGATACCACTCTAACAGACACCCTTTTCTTTTGCATTTTACTGCTCTCAGGAGTTATTGGACATAAACTATTCCAAAACCAAAGTAGTTGTTTTTTCTACAGGTGTACCAACTCGTCGTTTTTCCTGGTTTATAAACGGCCAGCCGATTGAACAGGTTAACACCTTTCGTTACTTGGGTGTGCTTTTTTCTTATAATTTGTCCTGGAAAACTCACATTACTACTGCTAAGAAGCTGGCATCAATACATGCATCTGCCCTCTTAAAAATTTTCCGGACTACAGGCAGTAACTTTTTACCTGCTGCCATTCGTGCTTGTCATGCAAAAGTGGTTCCCCAATTACTCTGTGGTGCTCCTTTATTTATTACTAGGGTGAACGACAAGTTAGACTCCTGTTTAACCTCTTTTCTTCGTTCTATGTCAAATCTCCCCTCATGTGGGTCTGGTCCAGCTATTCATGTGGAATTTGCTGAGCAGTCCTTAAAAGCAAAGGCTTGGATGGCAACTTTTTTCTTTAGGTTAAATACAGACACCCTTTTGGTATCTGGTCAGCAAGTGAAGTATTTCAGCAGAAAAATTATGAATGTGGTAACATCCCAGTTGTCCATATTATTGCAGATGACATGATCATCGCAGCAGCAGACAAGGAGGAACATGACACTATTTTAAAGCCTGTTCTTCAGAGAGCATGACAAAATGGTGCAAAGTTCAAAAAGGATAAGATACAGTTCCTGGTAGAAGATATCAAGTATATGGGCCACATGTTTTTAAAAGATGGCATCAAACCAGATGACT